CCTCCTGTAGCCCCCACCCTGTGCCAGCCAGGCAGCCCCAGCCCCAGTTCCCAAGCACTTAGGCCTGGCACAGGGCACTGGGGGTACGCGAGGAGCCGAGGGGACCCCTCGCCCCCCCTCTTTATCTAGTGAGGATATATCAAGCTGTAGCCCTATATGTAGTACCCAATTTACCTACTCACTGAGCCTATTTATTATTCCTCCGAGGCAGGACAGGGACCGAGGCAGGATGCGCTGGAGGCAGCAGGATTTGATGCCAATCACAGGGCTAAGGCCCCCCCACCCCGATGCCCGGGCTCCCCACGGCTCGGGGGGAGCGTTCACCCTGCCAGGGCTCACCCCACCACTGCCACCCCCCAGGCCCCAGCGCAGGTGTGACGGGGTGGGTGAGCAGCAGCCAGGTGGTCCCTGGCTGTGGGGTCCCCTCTGCCCCCCGTGCCCTCCCCAGGGCCGGGGGTGGCTTTGTATCATAAGCGGGAAAAGCAGTTTTGTACAAAGGGGTCAATAAAGCAAGTGTGTAAAGGCGCAGCCCCAGCTCCCACCCTCTCTCGGCCTGGGATGGGGGGGTCAAGGGGTGGGGATAGGAGTGGCACCTCCCACTTCCTTCTGTGCCAGTACGAGCTTTGGGAAGGCACCCTACCCTGGACTCAGCTCTGGGTGCTCCAGCCCTGAGGTGGGGAGCACCCTGCCCTGGGCCCCACCTCCCCTGTGTCCCCTGGTCCTGGGGGGCACCCTGGCCTGCACCCCATTTCCCCTGGACACTCTGACCATGCCCTGAACCCATCTCCCCTGGGTGCTCCAGCTCTGGGGGCACCGTGCCCCAGACCCTCTCTCCCCTGGGTGCTCCAGCCCCAGGAATCAGGTGCTGGAGAGGGTCCTGGGAGGGGGCCTGCTGCCATCACCCTGTGTCACCGCTGTGTCACCACAGAGGGTGACCCAGCCCTGCTACTCCGCCCAGCCCTGGGGCTGCCCGTTTGAAGTGGGATGGGAGGAGGCTGAGACCTGCCCCAGCTTGTGACAGTGATGGATGCCGAGTTCCTCGAGCAATGCCATGGAGTGCACTGCCTTCGCAGCACCTTTCCACCCCTCCCACTGACACAACTCCTATGGTGGAACAGAGCCAGAAGACCCTCTAATTTGTCCTGTGACACCCCAGAGCTCAGCTCCCCACATCCCAAACGGTACCTAGGCCCTCTCTCTTGCTCCTGCTTTATGCTGGCAGGAATTCTGTCCAAGCCTCCATTCCTCCCTCCAGAACCCCCTTTTCCCGGGGGGTGGCTCTGGTTCGGGTGCTGGGTGCCCCCCTGGTCCTGCACACTGCCCTGGGGTGAATCCTTGATCAAGGCTGGTGATCGGGGCTGAGTGTGGAGGGGCTGGCTGGGTGCTGGGGTGGGGGGTACCGTGAGATTGGCAGTGGAGTTGGCATCAGGCTCCCAGTGGGTGCAGTCCCAGCCTGACAGGGCTGGGCTGGAAGTGAGGGAGCTGGATCGGGTTGGGCCCCCTGAGACGTGGGTGAGTCCTTGTCCGGGTACCGCAGGGTGTTGTACTGGGGCTGCTTTGGGCACTCCAGGGGCTGCAGCTCGGGGGCACTGCGGGACTCCAGGTTTGAGCTGCTTCAGGCATCCCAGGCTCCCGGTTGGGGCTCATCTGGGCACCTCGGGAATGCTGAATTTCGTCTGGTTTGGGCACTGTGAGGCTCGGAGTCGGCACCCGGTATAGATACCCCGGGGCTCTGTTGTGGAGCTGCTCCGGGCACCTCAGGGCACTGAATTTGGGCTGGTTTGGGCACCACAGAGTTCTGTATTGGGGCTGGTCCTGGGGCTCCGGTGCCGAGTGGTTGCCCCTCTGGCGGTGCGGGGAGTTGTCCCTGGGCGGTGCTGGGCGGTCCCGGAGCGGTGCTGGG